GAGCACAAAGTGCAAAGAGTGGCAGGAAAGAGGATGAAGAGGGAAAAAGGGACCAGCTGGCAGGTAGTCTAGGTGCCATGCTAAGGGGCTTGGACTATTCCTTAGGTCAGGGGTCACAAAAGCAATGACTACGGTAATGCAGATAACTGAGGCAGGCCATGTAATGTATATTCTAGAAGAGGGGCACTGCAGCACACATGACCTGTCTCTAGCTATGGTGACAGCTGCTACTTCGCTCCAGCTGATGACTGCTGGGAAGACGACAAGAGTGGCTGTGTCTTCCAATTTTTCAAGGGAAGCTGAAATCCAGATTAGGAAAAAATCAGTTTCTAAATGTTGACTCATAAACACCTGCAGGAGACAAATAAACATAGCTATAGACTAAATATGGCTCCAAGACTGCTAGTCAAGACCTCTGTTTCACTGAGAAGTTTATTTCTAATAGGCAGATATTCCCATTGGAAAGATGTCATAGAGGCATGCTACGGAGGATGGGTTGGAAAGAGGAAAGACTGAAAGCAGGAAGACCATGATCCACCTAGAGAGTGATGAGTCTTTCGTCTTTTGAGGGAGATGATAATTTTGATAAAATCAAGTAAAAGTCATTTAGAGTCAAGTCTCATGAGTAAATTTAATATTAGAGCTGCACATCAATCAGGTTTTATATAAAAACAAGACAGGAGTATAAAGTCAATCAGATGACTACTTTAGGCAGTTCACAGAATGAGTCAGGAGACCATTACAAAGCAGAAGTTGTAAAATATATTGTGTAATAGTCATGAAGCCTCTAGAAGTGTCTATCTGCAGGTAAACATTGTGTGGATGTCTAGCTTCTATAATGACATTTAAAAGATGCTTTGCCCATTACTCTCTGCTCCCATCTTTAAGGTCTGAGGTCTTCAACCTCAGCCAGACATTTGGGATGGAAGAGGAGTCTATATCCCTTAAACGCTCTGTTTCAGATTAAAATCTTGAGGCCAATGTCTTCACAGTTGGCACATACTTAACATTTCCACCACTCTCGTCCTCTTCCTTTCCTGACTTCAATTTATACTCTTGCATTATTTGTACATATTTTTCTTCCTGCACTTCTGTGAGCAGAAACCATGTCAATTATCTTTGCATTACTTCCAAAAAACCCCAGCAGAGCAATCTGCCACAGAGTGAGCATTTAACAAATGCTGGTTTAGGAGGAAAACGCCTTATTACTTAATAATCACTGTGCTCAGCAAAATTCACCATAAGGCAGGTTTGCCTTGAGACCTATCCAAGGGCATTTAGTTACTGCAGCACCTAAACAGTCTCTCCTAAGCCAGTCCTGAAGTCAGCATTACAAGGAGGCTTGAGGTTCTGAGGTATAAGACCATCAGCATAAGCCCAGCTCGCTCCCAGTGACTATTTAATTACTATGGTAATAACAGTCAGGTATGTAAAACATTACACTCCTACTGATTACATGGAAGAGTAATCACTTCTTCAAGAATTATCTAGTCTACCATCTAAACAAACTATTGCCACCCCACCAGATAACTATGAAGCCACCACAGAAACCCAGATGGTAATCTCCACGCTCACTCTTACTGAGTTATTTGATGTTTGCCCAACAGTATGGTACCTGAAAAGATGGTACTCCTCATTAGCCAGGATAATCCTGAACGGAAACATTCAACTCATCGAATTTAGATGGTAAACTTCTTTACTACCAGTAAAAAAAAAAAGATACTAAGCATGAAAACCAGGTTTGGATACCAGGTTTGGGTATGGTTGGCAGATTAGGCCATGGGGTGGGAAAAGTTTCTGATTGTGTATCACAACAGTCACACACAAAATATAATCTGTATGTCATCTTGCTATGATGCTTTGGGAATAACTGATTTAGAAAATAAGAGAGGGCCAAGCACAGTGACTCACGCCTGTAATCCCGGCCCTTTGGGAAGCCAAGATAAGAGGATCACTTGAAGACAGGAGTTCAGGATCACCTGGGCAACACAGCAAGATCCCATCCCTACAAAAAAACTTTTTAAAAAATTACTTGGGTGTGGTGGCATGTGCCTGTAATTCCAGCTATTAAGGAGGTTGAGGCAGGAGGATCACTTGAGCCCAGGAGTTGGAGGCTACAGTGAGTTATGATCGTGCCATTGGACTCCAGCTTGGGTAACAGGGCAAGACCCTGTCTCTAAAGAAAAAATAAAAATAAAAAGGAGAAAAAAAAAAAAAGAGTCCATTAAAAGGTGCAACAAATGATACAGGCAACTAGTGACTGGTAATAATAATCATATTCAGAACAGTGCAACAACATTTAAGTGGAAAAGGAAAAATGGACTTGTCTACACATCCAGTTTTCTGTGCTCTCATGCAGTGAAGAGGCTGTCTGCTCCTTGACGTTCTTCTTAATAACCACATTCATTTCAGGACCCAACCACATCCAACACCAGGAAGCAGTAAGGACGAACAAACCAGAGAAGACACAAATTCAGGACGTAACAGCTCTACAGACTAGAACTGTGTTGTCCAATAAGGTAGTCACATGTGGCTATTTAACTAAAATTTTGTTTCTCAGTTGCACTAGCTGTATTTCAAGCTCTGCAGCTGTGGCTAATGGCTATTGTATTAGACAGTGCATATACAGAACATTTCCATCATTTTCCATGGAACAAAGCTGGACTACAAAGTGAATATTCCTATTGTTAAGATGGACCCAATGAAAAATTCAGTCAAAGCCAATAATTTTATTCACTGAGCATAATTAGAGATACCCAGGGTTATCTGGTTATTTTATTGAATGTGTCACAGAGACAACTGATGATCCACAGAAAGTTTGGACATCCTTATCAGCACAGGATTGTTTTTCTCAGTCTTCCTCCAATACCCACCTTTGCCCTCCCCACCACTGTGGGTAGGGATAGAAAGAAAAACGGTAGGGGGTCAGAAAGTCCCTGATTAAGTCTCTCTTATCCAAGAAGCTACATAAATTGCCAAAAATAAATAGGTTTTTAGAAGCATCTTCTTTCCTCCCCTTTCTCTTCCTTTTTAAAAAAATACTAAAAGGCAACTAAACAAAAACAACAACAGGAGACAGGAAGAGGTATTCAAGAAAATTATTAAGAAGAGGACAGGGTGCGGTGGCTCACATCTGTAATCCCAGCACTTTGGGAGGCCGAGGTGGGAGGATCACAAGGTCAGGAGTTTGAGACCAGCCTGTCCAATAATGGCAAAACCCTGTCTCTACTAAAAATACAAAAAAAATTAGCTGGGCGTGGTGGCGGGTGCCTGTAATCCCAGCTACTTGGGAGGCTGAGGCAGGAGAATTGCTTGAACCTGGAAGGCAGAGGTTGCAGTGAGCTCAGATTGCGCCACTGCACTCCAGCCTGGGCAACAGAGCAAGACTCCACTTTGAAAAGAAAAGAAAATTATTAAGAATAAAATGGATGGTTATCCTAAGTTACTGCCGAAGATATGCAAGGAAAAGTACCACAAATCAAGAATGTTTCCAAAAATACCCCATGGGAACAATTCAACAAATCCACATTAACTTTAAAAGTTACCAACTTTTCAGAGGCAAAATGATTTGCCGCTAAAAATTTAAAGTCCTTAGTTTTCATCCAGAGCAACACACTCTGGTTCAACAATCTAATTCACAGGCAAATAAAAGAATCACATTAAGTCACCTTCCAGCCATAGCATCATTTGAATTCTGAGGTCATTTGGTTCTCAGACAGGAGCCTGGTCTGATAGTAAATAAAAGTCAACTACAGTAGTAAGATTCTACTTATTAGAACTTTCCTGTGTACAGTCTCATAAAAATGAAGTAAAATGCTTTTGGATTTAATGTAGACAGTTTCAATTATATTTAAGAAAAGCAAAGAAAGATTCATTCAAGAACCAGGAAAAAGAAAACCAGGAGTCCTCAGACACTGGATTCCATTTAACACTCTTCACTTTATCATTGCTTAAATATTTACTTTCTACTTTGTGACGCTACCTCTCTGCCATCACAGAAGAAAATTTGATATCTCAGTGACAGAATAATTTAAGTGCATGCTAAAATTTAATCAGCACATAAAAGCAAGAAAACTCATAACCCATCTGTTTAAGAACAGCTTATATATTTTGGGGAAGGGGAAGCAAGACTTAGGATGCTGGAAAACATAAAACAAAGGCCTTAAAGCCCCTTTTTCAAAAATGCCTGATGTTGCTGTCTCTGGCTGATAATTACAGCCCTGGGAGGGCAGCTGTGAGACAATGCTGACGATGATGCAGTACACAGGCCCTCAAGAAGCTGGCAAGCTGCTGCTACCTTTCACACCGTGAAAGAACAACACAAGGGTCAGACTTCCCTTTTCTGTACCCTGTGCGTTTCAACTGCCATACACGCACTCAGTGACAAAGTTATCATCAGAAGTTATACAACCTCATGATCTGCTCCCTGCTCCCTAGCTTCACCCTCCACATTCGCCCTCAATGTTTGCTGTGCCCCTCTTTACTCTCGGCATTTTAGTAGGCATTTTAGTATAGAAAGAGAAGTGACATTTTGACCCTTTGCCTAGAAAAGGTTGCACTCTTGAGTCACTTTAACTCATCCCTTTAAAGCAGAAACTCACTTCATTAAAGTAAGCAAAAATTATCTGAGGCACCTAAGGAAGGTGGGGAGATGTTCGTTTAAACCTTGATAACTCAGTATTTTCTCCTCTTGATGAGGACAGAGTGACTGGTCACTGTTGAAGTGAGCATGGGAAAAATTAAAGATCTCTAGGCCAAGAAAGTAGCTTAAGTCAAAAAAGGCAACTGATCTGAAATATACCAAATCTACAAAAACTGTTTCCCATTTCATGCATACACAGCCCTACAGAGGGTATAAACACTACCAGCAAACCGTGCTAGGAGGTCACAAGCACTCCCCGGAGCATGCACGAGCAGCACAGTTTATAAAATGTTCTATAGGCAGTGTGAGAGACAAGGGCTGGATCTGGCTCCGACCAAAGGATGGAGCTAATGCATACCTTTTGCTCTTCTGGAATTTCCATTCTTTTGCTGTTCGTCTTCCTCATTAATGGTGAATAAACCAAGGGGAATTGGCCTTGCATTGGTCTTCTTCAGTCTCTCGTGTCGGAGAGCTGTAGCTGATCCAGGCATACCGCTGCTACTTTTTTTTTTTTTTTTAATTATTATTATATTAAAAATATATGCTTATGTAATTGCAGCTCCCAGGAAGCTGCTAGTTCCTAAGCTGCCTGTTCATTTGAGCACTTGTAATAGATCCCCTATGGGTAAACAGTTTGCAAACAGCTGACAGATAGTACCAGCCACTTGGCAACTGAGCCCCTGCAGTTCCCCTCACCTAGCAGCAGCTTCCCCACCTCCCCTACCAGCCCCCTCCCACTGACTCCCCGACAGGCACATGCGCTGGTGATTGCTCGGGCGCATGCATGCGCGCGCGCGCACACACACACACACACACACACACACACACACACTTTCCAGAAAAGCCCTACTAAAGACACGCAGGGTCTGGTGCCTCCCACCACTGCCTAACCTGTTCAATCAGCTTCTTCCTGCTGCAGCACCTTTTCCCAGTCTTCTTCCTGCTACCGCACAGTAAAATAGTCAGCCCACAGCAGACAGGGGAAAATATGATACGCTGCCGTTAACAGTTGCCCTGACAACCCTGATATATCCTAATCAAGGAGGGCGGAGAGCAGCTCCATCTCCCCAGCTGCGAAGCGGCAGCTTGCAGGATGCTGGGTTCTGGGAACTCACCAGCAGAGGGTTACTGCGTGAGGCCGCTGGGCAGCTCCCTCTTCCTCTCAGCGGCAGAGCAGCAGGAAGGGAGGAGAGAGTTTTGCTTGCACAAGCAGCAGTAGACTCCTCAGTATGGAGAGAGAGGCCTGAGGAAGAAAGGCTTTTTCTTCTTTTCTGGGCCAGGTTGTCTATCGTAACAATGTTTGCAAGCCCCTGGATGAATGAAGGCATGGCTGGTACCCACAGAGCAGCTCCCTTTACTTTCCTGACATTCTTACCACCCCAGAGCATGGTTGGCAGCACCGGTCACGAGCGCCACCAGTGCCATGTCCCTGAAACCCTCCGGCGAAGACAGGCAAGGGAAGAATTATGCTGGCTCCCATCAGAGATCACAATGTGGAGTGTCTCCTCCGCAACTCAAGTTTCAAGGACAGAACCTATACTTGGGAATTCTCCAAAGGAGAAACACCTGCCTCTGTTACACCCAGCACACCCCCCACCCTCAGTCCCCACCGCTCTGGGCAGTCACTACCAGCGGTGCTGAGCGATGCTCAACACTTGACCCAATTTTAGTTCTTTCTGGATCGTTTTCTTCAAAGCACAGAATCATGTGATTATTGTTTTCTGCTGAAATAAGCTATCTCACTTTAAGACTCTTCACTTCTAGACTGCTTAAAATGTATGCTGTCTCCAAAAAAAATTTACAATAAATGACATTAAAACACGCCAACTCCCAAATTAAGAAAAAAAATTTGTTGCTTTTGCGTTTTAATAAAAATCAAGTCTGCTTAGCAAGTCAAAAGCAATCCTCCCACTCCCAAATTACTCCCTTACTTTTTCTCAGTACTTAAACCTACTTATCCAAGAGAGGACCCAAGGGAGTCTAAGGCAAGTAAAATATCCTCTCTAAATCTCTTGTGTGAAACAGTAACTTTGGACAAATCACTTAACTCTCTCGGTGCCTCCATTTTCTCTGTAAAACTGGGGTGATGACTATCATTTACCTTATGGGATTAGGGTGAGGATTAAATGAGTGTGGTGCCAGCAACTCGAAGTGCTTAATAAATACCAACTATTATTATACTTTATAATAGTTTGCTGTAACTAGTCCATTTTTTGCTTTGTGATTATTTTCAAGGTGTTTCCAGTTCAACTATCAACGCTATCAGGAAGTACTTCTTTGTATCTACTCTTACTGTCCAGCATGGTGCTGGGGGATGTACTAAATGGTGAGCAAACACGTGCTGAAAAAAATAAATGAATCTTCAGAACTCTTTCCCTCCACAGGCTGGTGGATTTAATTAAGTTCACATGTATTTATTAGATCTCTGGCATGAAGAAACGCAGGAAATTTCAGTTTTAGAGTTTATTTTAAATTGTGTCAATCTGTGCAGTGGGTCTTTGGAATAAAAGAGAATGGAGTTTTGGAGCTGAATGGGCCTGAGAAAACAAGGGAGTTAGCATCATTTTACATGCGAGGAAGCCAAATCTCATGAAGTGAATGAAATTCCTTGCCTAGGTCAAATGTTAGTTGGCGCCAAGTCTACAATTAAAATTTAGACCACCTTCCTCCTAGTCCAGTGCTTCTCCTGATGACGAATGCTTGACCCAGATGTTTTTGAATCCTAGATCTCTCTCCACCTTATGTGGAGATGGAAGGAAAGGGAGGAGGCATGCCTCCAATATTCAAGATCTTATTAAGAAATAAAAAAATGAATACAAATTGTAACATACTTCCATAATTTTCTATATTTATAAACTTTTATTCTTGAATGAGACATTTGTTATTTCCTATTATTTTTCTTTAATCAGATGATCAATAAACATAGGTATAATATACATCAATATCATACTATTTGTGAAATGAAAATATTTTCAAATCCACATTAACTTCTTTCCTCTACTTCAAGAGAATCAGGTCAGTATGTACAATAGCAAAAGCACAATAAAACAAAAAAGCAAAAGAATAACAAAAAAACCCACATGTAAAATAAGCATACTTGAAACTACCTTTTGGTAAAGAAAATGAAAATCTATGTCTTAAGCAAATGACTAATTTCATTGAGAAATGTTTGTCACCCAAATACAGCTTACACTTTCCAAATAAAGCTAGCTGCTGCTCTAATAACTAACAGATCATCTCCACCGAGTCAAGATGCTCCCATCCTGCTGTCTTGTAAATCCTGACTCTAACATCAACTAGCTGCATCACTGTCACAAAAAAGCAAACACCACAAGATCAAATAATAATAATAAAGGATTTTCTTCCTCCCCTTATAAAGGACACATTTTTCACCTAAGACTAAATTCATTTGAGATTAGTTTCTTAAATGTTCACACCCAAACTTTAATGGATATAGGGTTAGCTCTTGGGGAATTCCAGGAATACTGTGGCTTGGCCCCTGTAGGGATGTGAGTACCATCTTCTCCCAATTCCCTTTTACGTTCTGATCCAAAACAAAGGCAAATACGGAAAGGGGTATGGTGAGACCTTAAATTTAAATATCTGCCAAAGTAAAATAAACACTACTCTGAATTCCTGAACTCTTTTGAGACGGAGTCTCGCTGTTGCCAGGCTGGAGTGCAGTGGCACAATCTCGGCTCACTGCAACCTCCACCTCCTGGGTTCAAGTGATTCTCCTGCCTCAGCCTCCTGAGTAGCTGTGATTACAGGCATCCACCACCAGGCCCAGCTAATTTTTTTTTGTATTTTTAGTAGAGATGGGGTTTCACTGTGTTGGCCAGGCTGGTCTTTGACTCCTGACCTCAGGTGATCCACCCACCTCGGCCTCTCAAAGTGCTGGGATTATAGGTATGAGCCACCGCGCCCAGTCCCCTGAACTCTTCTCCAGCACTAAGGAGCATTTTCAATTAGATGTGGTACAAGTATCCTTGCACGTCACATGCAGATATAGAGGCTTTTAAATCAGTCCCCATGGGAAATGGGCATGCAGTCCTCCAATAGTCAGGTTTTGCAATTACTTTGTTTAAATCATTAAAGTGATAAATGTTGTATTAATAGAGACTTTGTACAAATTTGAGAGAAATGAGACACTGCCTCGTGCAACAGGGTTGATTTTACAACTAGATTGGCTTTACATTGCGTAAAAATATTCTGTGGTATAATTTTAAAATGTATTCACATGTATGGGTAAAAACACTACCACTCAGCTACTATAATTAAAACAGTCCCACAGGCCCCTGAGCAACTGCAGGCCCCACCCGCTTAGTCCACAATAAATTTATGTCTCTTTGTCCTCATACCCTGGCTGGTTGGCATCTCTGGCCTATGTCCAACCTGTGAGTTGGATGAATATGAAACAGAGTCAAACTTGCTGATCATTGGGGAAGTAAGCTCATGAGTTGGGCCTAGCTGTCACAACGTTATATAAAAGACTAACATGTAGTCACATGCATACACATACACACACATAGAGTCAGCTTTCTGTTCACATTTATGCTTCCTAGACTCCTGTGACCATAAAGTTGGAGAACAGCACACTCCATGAATGAATCCAAGAAATCTGCTTAACCAGTGAGAAACAAATCTAAAATTTCCCTTTCTAAAAGCCCAGTGAGCTTTACGAAAACATTATTGAAAGAAAAAAGAGCCTAATTTGTACTATTCAAGGGCTAGAGTGAAAACAGAAATTATTACTGCGGATTGAATGGTCTGTCACCAGTAAATTACAAGTTCCACGTACGTATAAGTTATTTACTTTTCATCAAGGTCCAGAAGTTCCAAAATTCTTTTCCACATTTCTACATTCGAGGAGATGGTTAATTCTTCAAAACTCCCGGACTTCAGTAATCTTTTAAGTATTTAATGCATCTCCCCAAGATAAACTGCAATTTACTTCTAGCAGGAGTTTTAACAATATTTTTATGCAACTTAAAACCTATGCATGATTTTGAAAATGACAGAGCCAACACAGGTTGACATGGAATCAAACAACCACTAAGGAACAAAGGTTCCCATTTGGTTCTTTGACACTCTATTCTTAAAGTTAAAGGGAGGCCTCAGAGTTGCCTAGAATTACGCCACTTACTGATGGCTTTTGTGACGATAAAGGCACGACATTCTGCCATCTTGCAGCATCATGCATAGCGTCAAAGAGGCTGGATAAAGAAATACTGCACAAAGAAGTATCAACCCTTTGAAAGGAAAAGGCAGATTTGCTTTGATCTTCTTTATTTGACAACTTTTTGTTAACGGGCATATAAGAAAAACAGTAAATACTGCCCTAGTAGTGGTGATGCCATCAGCCAGAAGTACGAGGTCCCTGTGGTGCCTTTTATAACATTTCTATAAATCTTCACTGCGAAACACTTCATGGAGCCTACAGAGTCCATTTTCCCACGTCTGCTCTATCATAAACAAATTTCAAACTCTAGGGATTCATTTATACAAATGTGAGGTGTGGATACTAAGCTTTAAAACCCTTTCCTAAACGTTAGGTGTGAAATGCCACATTAAACCTTAATCCAGTAGCACATATTAGAGTGCCTCTCAGCCCTCATATTCATTACTCTCATTGATACTACTTCATTAATGTGCACCACATGAACTTCTGAATTACTTGATAAAAGTTAAAGGTGCAAAGATATCCTCTTCCCTCATGATAATTAGGCTAAGAAATCCAGTTTTATAGATTCCAAATGAGGCAAAGAAATCAATCTCTGAGTTCAACAGAAGATTCATACAGATGCCTGGACTGTGTTTCCGTAAGTTACCTAATTCACTGAAGGTCTGTGAGCAGTTTAATTTAGTGTTTAGTTTTATTGTTGAGCCACACCATTAGAAAGATAAGAAAATGAAACTATGGTTCCTTGCCTTGCTTTGCTTTAAGAGTAGTAAAATCATGTCAAAGATGCCAGATGGGGTGCTTTGGGGCATGCCATCAGAGGGGATACAGAGCCAAAGGCATGATGTTTTCACCAAACAGAGGCAGTGGGGAGCCACTGAAGGGTACTGACAGCTAAATGTGTGATCCAGACAGGCCAGGATGAACTTGCAGTGAGAAAGAGAGACAGGACAGAGACTAGTTATGTAACTGCTTCGTCCAAGTGGAGAAAAGGGATTAAATGGTGGCCATAGGGATAGACATAAAAACAGGAATATGAGAATCAATCATATCTGTGTTTTTTAACAGACATCCCTCTAGCAGTGTGGAAAACTTATCCATAGGCTTGAACGTGAATACCAAGCTCCTGTAATAGTCCAGATGAAAGATGGAGAAGTGGGCAATGGAAAGAAAGGTAGTTAATGTTTTTATTAAAGATTAATATGACAACAAGTGCTTTATATCCATAGATAAAAGAAAACTAAGAGATGGATAGACTAAGGTCCAAAATGATCTCAAAGAATGAAATAATGAGCTATACTTAGACAGGATACAGCCTATTCAGTTTATTCCTACTGAATAGGCTATATTCTTATTAATTCAGTAGGAATAAACAGGAACATCTCTTTTTATATTTAAAAAAAGTTCAACTGGACAGGTATAAAATGAAGACCTACCCAAGCTGCACCAGAAACAAGGAGAGCACTTGGACAACAAGCTCACTAAACATCATCAGCGCACTGAGGAAGTAAAAACCCTAACAGTGTCACAGCAGAATCGGCAGACACCAGCGTGCCTAATAGAAGACAAGCGTTCTCTGTTTTCTGGTCCTCATACCACATGGTACTCGCAAGATATTTGAAATAGGATGATAAATGAGAACACATTCAGAAGAGAGAGTGACCCAGGACTTATCATAAATATTCTAGGCCATAACATAGGAGACATAACATAGGAGAAAATAAGACAAGACTCCAGAGGAATAAAATAACAGAATTAAAGGTTAACATATGGAAGAATTTACACTTTTAGTGGAAGTGTAAATTTAGTTCTGGAAGAGAAAACTGATAACAGTGACTGGAAGTTACCAGAATGTAAAAAGTTATGTTTTTTGACATTGAAGATAGCTGTGCGCAAACACTGATCTGGGATGATGATGTTGGATTAATGCATCGTTCACAAGTTGGAATTTTTTTTTTTTAATCTCTAGAGCTTCTTCTGATCCTGAGACTCCATGACTTGATGCAAATGGAAAGTCAAGTTATATAGCCAAGAGAGAACACTCAGGCAGAGGGAAAAAGCAAGGCTGAGACAAAGCGCTTTCCTTTGCTGTACCTGTGCGTTTACTTACTCACATGGCTTCATTTTGTAAGCAACTCTGCGTTTCATTATTTGACTTATTCAACTGACGGCGCAGAGGATTTAGCCTTAAATGCTAAATCACAGAAACAACTGAACCTTCACCAGGTGTTTGGGTTAGAAGAGGGCCACACTGGCCGGGCGCAGTGGCTCACACCTGTAATCCCAGCACTTTGGGAGGCCTAGGCAGGCGAATCACGAGATCAGGAGATCGAGACCATCCTGGCTAACATGGTGAAACCTCGTCTCTACTAAAAATATATTTTAAAAAATTAGCTGGGCGTGGTGGTATGCGCCTGTAGTCCAGCAACTGTCAATTTCCTTTAAAACTATAGCTTGCAGTGAGTTGAGATCCGGCCACTGCACTCCAGCCTGGGTGACACAGCGAGACTCTGTCTCAATTAAAAAAAAAAAAAAAAAAAAAAGAAGAGGGCCACACTACTCTGATCTCTGCACCTGCAGCTTCCAGACCTCCCACATTCTCTCACCCACAATGTAATGAAAACC